CAGTCTTGTAAGATAAAAATTACTCAATCACATTTTTCTGCGTTCATTCCTGTCCATAGCGACGCCATTTTGGTACTGTGAAAGGTGGTCCTTCAAGCAATGCGGTTGCAAGTGCAATGGATTCCGGGGCGCGATGAAGAGAAGACAAAACTGCGGGGTGGAAGGGAAGAAATCCCAGAAGTCTGTGTGTAACCTTTGGGAATTGACGGGGTTGAGAGATCCCGAGCACTTCGCCAAAACGAGCACTTCTCGATATTTTTTCGCCCGTTTCCATCCGAGAGCGTGTCTCTCGATAATTGAAGACAAATTGCTTTGAAAGCCTGTAAATGCACACAAGAGTGAACACTCGGCAATACCAGCTTGACAATTTTTACATCTGTTAGATGGATTTAGCAAAAAAATATGGGCGCGCCTTGAAAAAGTACATCAGCGTAAAAATGTGGGACTTTATAAGACTCTTACTCACGTGAATAATGGACAATAATTGCCATCCGCGCGTGCACGACGCCTAAGTGAGCTAGAACGTGTTCGCGAGTTAGCATTTCTCTATTACTCGTTCTTTACATAACATTATTGCCCAGCTTTCCAACACGCTTGAAATTTCTCGTTGTAGATTCCTAAAAAACTCGTAACTAGTCGTAACGTGTCACACTTAATAGCGCATCGCTATCAAGTTTGTTAGCGATTGATTGATACTTACTGCAATTTGTGAAAGCTCCGTAACGATTCTCATCGATATAACGCAGTGAAAAGCGAATTTAATGTACAAGTCCTTGATACTGTATTCCCGCGAAAGCCCGCAAAGGTCGAAAGCAAACTTAATGAAGTGCAATGCGCGGAGCACACTGTGAAAGTTGATCGATAAAGATCTAAATGAAAGTCGCGGAGGGAATACAAAATGACTCTCCGGAGTGCAACTACTTTGCGTAGGACCGACCGGTTTACCGGGAAAAAGAGAGGAAGGACGTTACGTGTTCTACACTGATTGGGAACTTGCCATCTATAAGTCAGAGCTCGTCTCGAATGAAAATAAATAATTTAGTTCGGCTAGGCGTACCGCGTATACGTATTTATGCCATTCACATAAAATAAATTCACACAAAGTAGGAAAAAAATGGATTAGGTTGTTCAACAAAGTTATAGCTTGCTGGGTGAGTTCATCTATAATTAAAAAGATTTGAAATGGTTCAACAAAGAAATCGTGTCTGTAAACAGTTATCAGTAATTCAGCTAATTCTTTGCTACGATAAAAATTACTAATGTAATCAGTTTCTTTCATTACTAGCATGTTTTGTTCAAAATTTTGATCTAAATATTGGATTGATTTTCATAGAGTCATTTTTGCTGCGCTATTATAACAAATATGATTACCTATAATAGTTAATTTCATTCAGCTGTACTATTTTAACATAGAAAACTGGCTGCCTGTATATTACGACGATAGATTTACTAAACCAGTGAAATTTTTAGTTGTTTTAATAAATCTTTGTTTTCCATGTTTCCTCTCCTTCTTTCGTGTATCACAATACATTTGCAGCCATCGCGAAATTGTTGCAAATGACGATCATTGATTTTATCGTTGATGAATCGTTGGTGATTCTCAACGCATTGTTACTTTCAAACCTATTAGGTCTCGATTAGAGCATCTCTGGCTTATCCTTTTATCTGGGATAAACAATGAGAAGGATTTTAATTTCCCTCTCGTTTGTCTTTGTGAAGAGGTATGGGAACGAAATAATTTAGATCCGAAGGAGTGCGGAATTCTTGGATGTTCTCGTAAAAGTGTAGAAAAAAATAGACCTCGATCCAACACGTAAATCGAGGTGTCAGGCATCACGACACGCATTATTTCGATAATTAGGAACTTTTTCTCAGACGAAGATATCGATGCCGTCTTCTCACGAACTGGTCCGAGAATTTGGACCTTGTTCGCGGGTTCGGCTACAGATAACGTATATCTGGACGATCCGGCCAAAGCTTCCTTCACGTTCTGCTCCAATCTATCTTCGACATATCATGGAGTCACCTCTTGTTTCCCCGAATTATCCGGCGACGGGATGTTCTTTATCGAAACATTTCGTTCAGGAAGCTTTCTATGATAATGACTTACAAACGATTAAGATATAAATCAGAAAATGTTTCTGGCACGGTGTTTTTTCTAATGAGATAACTAAATTTTAAATCGACCGTTTTTAATGGGAAGAAAAATATAACCGTAAATTACTTCAAGGCTTTTTTATCTACTTACTGCAGCTATCTTGGATTGTGACGTCAGAAGCGAGAAAAATAAATATATATAAAGAAAATTCTTGCAAGCTATGTTAAAATGTATTTTTTTTTAATAAAATAGCATTTGCAATTGATAGAATAAATTATATAATAAAATATACTGAAAATTTCTCTTATATTTCGGTCAATCCGGTAATCAATAAATATATTCGAAATCCATATATTTGAAATCGAATTATGCCTAACCAGAAAACGAAGCAAGCTATATAACAGTTGAATTGAGATAAATATGATTTTATTAAAAATAAAAGGAGAGTGTTTTATATTTCATAAGTGTGTACTATCAATTGTAAAAATTATTTTATTGAAAAATTTTTTTTTAAATATATTTTGCAAGAATTTTCATTATGTGTTTCCCTGCTTTTGTCGTCATCAATTTAAAGATTCATGATGAGTGATAGCAGTCTTAGGGCTATGACACACAGAAGAACTCGAATAATAAAACGTAAGACGTAAGGAAATCAACATGTTGGATTCGCTACTGCTTACGTTATGGGCTTACGGTCTCTACTATGATTGGCCAATTTGCTTACAGTTTACGTTTTACTGCTTAGTCTTTTGTGTGCCATGGCCCTTAACGCGACCTTAGCGGAATGGGTATCTATATCTTCACTGCGTTTGCGTTTTAATTCTCGTCGTACATTCGTATAAGTCCTGAAATTCTAGCGACGCCACGTTCAATCAGTGACAAAGGAGATCTGAAGGCCTTGGCTACGGGATTCTGAATACGTGATATCAACTACTTTACTCCGCATACGCAAGAGTTATGGCCTTGATCCGTACCATGGGCAAGTTGCGCTGCACCTTCGTGTCGTCGTCGTCGTCGTCGTCGTCGTCGTCGTCGTCGCCGTCATCGTTGTCGTCATCGTCGTGCACGGTAAATCGTGTGCGTCGCGTGGTACCCACAGGCACGAACACAATACGCGGTAATTGAGTTACAGAGGCATAGCGCTCTCATGGACAAAAAGAGAGCGGTTCCACACGTGAACGACTCGACAGAATTGCAGGTCCGATCCAGCTGCATCCGAATGCATCCTTCAGAATGCGATACTAATAGACGAGACTGATTTTCCCTTGGATTTTCTTTTGCGAAATCTTTTAAATCTCTGAAATTATTGTGATGAACGTATCTACCTGACGTCCCAATAAACACCTAGTTACATGTAACGTATCTGTTAGTTAATTGTAATCTCATTCAACAATAATATACAACTGTAATATAACACATTTATTGTGTTATAATTTTTATATGTAACGAATTTAAATAGCTTTTCTGCGAAAGGTCTTGCGTAGACTTGAATGCTTTTTATTATTTACTAGTTTTTAATTTGTAAAGCCTTTATCTTTTTATATATTATAATTATATTGTTGAGTGAGTGATGTAATATAACACACGTGTTACATATAGTTACATTGTTGAATAAGAACAGGTACGTTACATCATATTGTTTGATAGAATCCATCTTTATGATGACTGGATTGTTAAACGGACCAAGTAAATACATGGAATACGCATTTCCTTTTATGTATACCAATGAAGATCCAAGCAGAAAAAGCAACTTTGCAACTATTATAAAATTCTTTAATATAATCGGCCTTTAATATAACTTGCCTTTAGTTCCCTATTGGATCTAAATGTATACGATCATATTAAAGAATCTTACAACAGTTGAAAAGCTACTATTTCTACTAATCGAACGCAGTCATCGATATTCTAGAAAATGTTAAAACACTTCGTTTTGCGCGCGTATATTCGCGATGAAATTAACAGATAGTAAAGCATCTGTCTTCACGTTAGATCCAACTTTTTAGTGCAACTTTTTAAGACGTCTCCGTCGCGCGTTTTCGCTCCTTTTCATTTTTTTTATGCACACGCGCGAGCGTAAACGCATAATCGCACGTCACGAGGCTATAATGTTTTTCACACCGCGACAGTGCCGATCGATTATTTCTGATCCAAGTAATAATAATATGTGAGTGTAATTGCTCCGTCGTTTAGATTAGCTATTAATTGCTTCCCCCTCGGTGTATTTCATATGATGGGTGTCATTTATGGCTGCGCCGTTGCTGCGCGAGAGAAACAACTTGATATTGCCTCTGGCGCAATTGGTTGTCTTGCACCGCGGGTCTTCACGAGTTTACGGTGTATGTATGTGCTTATGTGACTCAGAAGGATCTTACGAACTACGTACAAATCCGATTTTATGATTGAGATTTTTCTATTTTAAGAGAGAGAGAGGGGGAAGGGGATCCGAATCATATTTGTCATCTGAATATTAAGCTGCCAAGTGTTCAACACATTAGAATATATATTATATTTTTTACAGTTTATAAATCTAACAAGTCGAAATACAAAGAAAAAAAGCCAATATCTTATCGACGAATCAGAAAACCCTATTTTTAAAAAATATCCAGGAAATATATATCAACTAAAAGTAACATAACATGAATATTATAATTTCATACTCACCAATGTAATATAATATATGTGTTATATTTATATCATTGAATGTGAAATTATAATATGTTATTTTTAACTTATGTTTAGGTGATTATATATATTTTAAAATATATATTAATTATATATATATATTTTAATCCCATATATATGTATATAAAATGTATTACTTTTAACTGATATATCAGTTATAAAAATAACACATAATATGTACAGGATTAATTAAATATATATAACACGGGAACAAACCTGTACAATCTTATTCTTCTTTAAAGTAACACATCATTATTTCTACTGCATGAAACATATTTTAGCATATAAATAAATATATTCCTTCCTTACTATTAATATTGAAGAAAGGAGCCTCGATATTAATCCTAGTAATTCCATCTACAGTTACAGAGCAGCAAGCAAAAATCACAGAAACGTTGAGATGGCGTCATCTACCGATGATCTCTCGTATTAACGGAAGCATGTTAGATTTAAAGCGCAATTGCGAAACAAAAGGCAATTGACTGAATTGACGTTTGACGTTTTAGTAATGCTGCCTTCCAAACTATAAAAGAAAATAATTTTTATTTTTCAAGATATTCTTAGAATACATTAAACATTAAATAGAGAATACATTTCATAGCTCACTAGATTATGGCTAATCCTAAGGTTTCAGAAGAATGTTGGACTAATATTATCAATTCGCTGTATCTTCGTATCGCTCTACCATGTTTTGTGGAGAGATTTCCTTCGCCAATATCTTAGAACCGGCATCGCCCTGCAACAGATTGGCCTCTTCTTTTTTCACCTGGGTGCTCTCAGCAGTGCCAACGGAAGGTTTCTCCTCTAAATTTTTCTCTTCATACTCGGTCTCACTACATTCACGTTTTAGCCGCATCTCTCGCTTGTGTCTTTCGCTCGTCTCGAAAAAGTTCAACATATCCTCGGTCACGTTGAACTCCAGATCCTCATTTGTATCGGATTCCGTGTCATCTCCCTGAGCATCGTCATTGTCGTTATCAGCGTGATAATTATAATTCTCCCGAGAGTTACGATAACCGCGACGATGAGCCAGAGATCTCACTTTGTCGCGCAGCAATTTATTTTCGTGCTCCAGAGCGACGCAACGTGATCTCCACCAGGTTATGCTGTGTCTGAAAACCGACGAGATTCCTTTGACGATCGATTCTCTTTGATTTTACTGTCAATTTAACTTGCGAACCTACCGTTTCTGCCATTCCTGGGCCACGGCATAATTCTTCCAGAAAGCGTCGGCCTGCATCGTGCCCGTCGCTAGCGTCTCTCGTGCATCTGTGACATACCCGGGAAAGGCCGTCCAATGACTCGCGTTGAACCTAACCTCTTGCTCGCACAGCCGTTTCTTTTTCAAGCGCTTCAAGCGTCGCTTCCTCTTCCACTTCTTTCGTCGTTTTGCGGCACATTCAGTCAATTCCATGCTCGATCGAATTTTCTTTGTTACGAAAGGTCAGCTGAGTACAACTAACAGCTATACGTCATTGTTTACGTTTCCGTGCACGAACGCCATGAAGCGAGACGGAACCTGAACATGAATGTCATGAATGAAATCTGACAATATCTCCTTTGCTCTTGGAGCTTCTATATAAATAAATAAATAAATCCGATAAAATTAAAAAAATGTATTTTTGAAAGAATTCATATCTCGATATCTTTGATTTCTATCACGAAAGGTTTTCTCTATGTATTTTTTTTCTATCATTTAATAATAAAAAAAATTATGCTTATTAGTAACGTATTAAATTGATTATTAATTAATAATTACATTTCTTTTAAATAATTAATAGGTTGCATTTTAAGGCTGAATAATATAATGAAACGTTTCTCTATGTATGTTCTATTAATTAATAATAAATTGCAGTGCTAATTAATAATATATTAAACTATTTATTAATTTAATACTATATTACATTTCCAGTTTTTTCACATAATTAATCAATTGCATTTCAAGGCTGAATACTAATAAACATAATTCAACAAAAGTATAGAAAATTCATAAAATAATTAAGCATAAAAAATCCTAGCTGAATGATGTTACATATACATATCAGTTAATATTACTTATTAAAGCATATTTCTTATTAATCTTCCGGTCTTTCAAATTATTTTTAGAATTGAAGTGACTAATATCTGTTTTTACCAATGTAATTTAATTTTAATTTTGGTTCAATATAACTCTTCATTTTTTTCCAGTTTCATAATCTTATAGAAGTCTGTGGTCTAGTTTTAAGAATTAGAAAAAGATTAAGAGTAAGTTGAATCGAAATTGAAGTTAATCTACATTGGTAAAAATGGGCATAAGTAGAAGGAAGAAAACTGTATATCGAGGATATATGAAAGATTAAATAAGTGATTTTTATTAGAAATGTACAGTAAGCTTTATACAAATCTAGAAAAAGAGACTGTAACTTAGGTGAAAGTTACGCGTATATAACACTTATCGAGGTCTGAAGATGTTATCTTTAATCTGTTTCCGCGGGTTCGCGCATAACAATCGTCGTGAGTTCTTCTACGCACTAAAATATGTGCATGTTTTTACACACGCATCAATTATAATCTCATTCTTTCATCTCTGTACATGCAGTAAGTGTTATAAATATCTCAAAATTCAACACTACCATTAGTTATTTTTTGAAACGTATTCATTACATTCATATTCCATGGTTTAGAATTTGAATCTCGATCACGATCAATCACAACGTTTAAAGCAGAAAAAAGAATTATATCTACCGTCCAATTAAAAGAAATCTGATTGACATACGTTTAGGAACGTGCTTCTTATCGTTTATGCCTCAAAGCATCGATTTCGTTGAAAGCTGCGTGAAAATTATTGTCAATAACATGTTTAAAATCAGCTACATTTTCAAACTATAAGATAACGTGTAAATCCTCGTTCGGGAAAACCGAAACAATTATTATATTCTCTGTTCGTATAGACTTTCAATCAGTTTTCTGTTAGTGAATGATTATAAAGGTCCAGTCCTGACCTCACATATACGACAGGTTCAATCCGCGTTCAAACGATACTTCATCATCTCCTAATTTAACATTGGCGCTACCTGTGCTATTTCGTCTCGAATTATTACGAGGACCATTGGCTCGAGCATTATTACTAGATGCTTCGTCGTCGCTTCCATTCGTCGGCGACGACTTATGCAATGGCTCCAGTCCAATAATTACACGTATGTCATCCGGAATCAGATGTTCCACAGACATCAGCTGATAGTAAATACCTTCTGCCTTAGAAATTGTCCAAGGCAACTCGATATGAAGTGACAAATCGTTTATGTGCTGTAAACAATGATATAACATGTCAGGATGCTGATAAATTTATGTTACTGTTATACCAGGAAAACGTTTTACCTTCAAAATTTCCGTAAATCCGTAATTGTTTTCTATTAAAATATTCTTCTCTGTATCCAAAATGGCCGCGCATATTAGTAAATGAAAGTTTTTACAGGGTAGATCGGTCCATAATATCTCCCATAACTTTAATATATCGATCGCGCTAAATTCTCGCTTAAATAATACTAACAACCATCGAAAGCAAAAGAACATATTTCCAGAATCATGTCTATTCAGATAATATGCTAATTGCGGTTCCGTAGTGCACAATAACGTATATAATTGACACAATTGACCCTTCATACCTTTCTGATCCATCTCGAAATTAGTACTCTGTTTTAAAAGAAAAAAAAGTTATAGATATTCATTAATTATTATTATTACGCAGATAACATCATACTTACTACTTTATCCATGAATCCAACGAAACACCAAAACGCATCTACTTCATTATCCATTAAAAATAAAATTGGACTAAGAAGATCGCTCATACCCTGAACATATCCTAAATCGAAATTGTACATTACATAGGTCATGAGTATGTCATATAATTGTTCCAAGTGTGGATTATTATCCCCCGCATAGTAAGGATGTGTTCTATCTGTCCTGTTAACATCCTTCTCTGAAATGACATTAAAAAATTCGATTTTCATTCAAAATATAAAAGCACAGTTAGGAATAAATTATGTATTCTTACAAAAATAACAATTTTGCTGTTTTAATTACCTATCAAACTTTTTCGTTCCCTATAATCAGAAAATCGGCTTTCTTGCGCAGTCGTGAATGTACGCCATTGCAATTTCATCGTAAAATATTCGTCAGTCTTCTTTCTCTTAAGTTCTAATCTTTCATTATGCGTCGATTTCCATGGGTAATAATTTAATAAAAATTTCCATGCTTCAAAACGTAATGATGGACAAATACCCTAATAAATTATCACAAATATATTAAAAAATTACATTATATACATTATATAAAGAATGCTAATATTATTGCTGGAAAAATATTTAGATACATACCCCCCGAAAGATAATTTCTTTGACAGCCTCAGGATCAGTGATTCTTCCTTCTCGATCTTTACATTTTTCCCATTGTTCTTGTGTTAACGGCGCACCTGATACAATTATAATTTTTATTTAAGCAAAAAATATATATACAATTAAATATATTACACATATATATGTATATATATATATAACCATATCTCTCTCTCTCTCTCTTTCTCTCTCTTATGATGTAATTTTATTTTTTATAGAATAATTTTTAAATTTATATGTTAATGTATTACCGCGCGGACACGGTGGTCGTGGAGGTAAGTCCACTCCGACTCCAATTACTTCATACTCTTCTCCGGATCCTATAGATACAGATACACGCGGATGAGGATCGATCGTAAGAGACTGGTTTAATAAATCAGCTACTGCTTCCTCAACAGGTCGCTTCACTGGCTCTTTGTACACTGTAACATTATTAAACAATATGAAATCATTGTGTTTATGTTTACAAACACACTGATAAATGTATTGATTGGAGATCATTAATCTATCCGCTTACACCAGATATCTGCAAGTTTGCTGAATGCCTCCATTGTTGTTTCATAAGGACGATTGTGTAAGTTCTTTACAAACTTCCACACATAATCAGAAGTGTTTTCTTGAAACAGATCCAACTCGGCAAAAGATCTCTTCAAGACAGTTTCAACTTCGTCCAGCACCAGATATAAATTCCTATCCGAGCGTGATTTTACAAATTTGATGAATCCTTTTAACGAATTAACGAAACTTTCAGCGTTAGCCAGCTGAAAGAAGGCAACGTAGGTGGTACCATCCCTCTGCATAAATATGAGCTGCTGTCCGCCGTGATTCACGCGAAATGACTTCAGATCGGAGAATAATATTTTAACGGTTCTCGTACGTCCAAAAGAGTCCGGACCCTCCGAGTTTGTGCGAGTTCTTCTCGTGTGCGTATCCACTAGAGACCATTCTGGATCTTGATCTTGGCATTCCGATACCACGGAATCTTCTACAGGCTTCCATTCTATGCACTTACCGAAACTCTGTAATGCAAAAATAAAACAAGCTCTTTACAAGTCTCCGTATATGCGTAATATTAATCCAATAACGGAATCTTACGTATTCCACGATATTAAGCGTTCCTAAACTGTGAACCTCGTCTTCTCTGGCATTCGCTCCACGAAGCACAACACCCGTATGGATGCAGAGATCCTAACAGAATTAATAACAGGTCAACAATTTGCAGGAGATAACGTACTTTCCAACAAAAGACACAGATAACACAGTAAATCATTCGTTGCTTTCTATTTACAAAACTCAGATAATTTTCATTTGTCATAACTCAGTTGAATGCATGTTCCTTTTTATTCTGACAAGAGATTCAATTGAGCTTTTACCTATATTCTGCACATGTTAGAGACCATGTGCTTTACTAACTTTTGTTAAATCATATTAAAAGTGAGGTTTAATAAACCTGTGTTATTGTGCGATAACTATGTTACCAAAGCAAATAGTGACGTCATTATCTGAGTATAAAATACATAACTTTATAAGCTGACCCTATACGATCAATAATACTATCAGTATTAACAAATACTGATAATATAACTGAGCGTGTATTGTTAATATTGATGAATTGATGTAGAACTATATAATATAAATAAAGACGTAGACTAATAATAATCTGGATTCTGATTCAAGCATTAATATCGTTTTATTAAGATGTCACAGTATATCACAGTGCAATAGACAATGTAATCGAAACTAAAGTAAAATATATTATCAATAATACTGATCGTGTAAAGTTGTAAAAATACTAAAAATATTTATACTATCAGTATTACTGATCAGTATTATTGACCACGTAGAGTCACCTTTATTCAGTATCACTTGTGTAAAATAAAAAGCAATTTACATCCTTATTGTTTGTCAATGTTAAACAAAGATGAAATGACCACTGTGTTACAATATCTCTCGCTGGAAAGCACCAAGTAACTACATCTCCAAATATAAAATCGCAGGCCTGGGAATGCAAGTGTCAGTGTGTCGCAATTAAAAATACTAATCAACAACGAATTACGTACTATTTACGAGTATAAACAGCTAGAGAAATGTCAAATGTAATTATATTCATAATATCGACATG